CCCCCAGCGATAAGTTTACGGATTTATAACGCTAAAATCCAGGGTTCCAATCCCTCTGGTTGACATTGCAGAAATCCCAATGTGGCTTTGCTCTCAAAAATAAACAATCTAATAGTAAGTGGTTTAAGCCACATAGTTTGTTTGTTTGGTTTGAATTTCGCGCAAAGCTACACGAGGGCTATCTGCGCTATCCGTCCTTAATTTAGCAGTGAAAGACTAGAAGGAAGGCAGCTAGTCATCACCACCCACCGCCAACTATTGGGCTACTCTTTTACCAACGAATAGTGGGATTGACTGTCACTTTATAACGCCCCAACGGCTGAAAGGGCGAGCATGTTTGGTGGGACGAGGATTCAAACTCGCGACTCTCAGTCTGCGAGTCGAGTGCCCTAACCACCTGGCCATGTCGGGCCAAGCCACATAGTTAAATGGTTTATGTGCCATTTATGGCAGAGAGGTTAGGCTACGCTGTTTTTTAATTCATGTAATTTCTTAGGCTTGAAGTTTAATAAAGCACTGGTTTTACCTTTTCAGAAACATCAGCATTGAATCACACTTGATCTTCAATGGTACTAATTGATAACATGATAATTTTGTCAATGTAAAAAACCTCATCTTCATCAGAATATTAAACTTATTCCTCTAAAAAGTATCATTATTTTCCACTCAATTATAGTGATACATAATTACCATTTATAGCCAACATGTGGCATTAATACATATACAGCCATGTGAACGCATACATGTCAGCCTGCGAAAAGTTATCATATTAACGCGACCGCAGCGCCGCCAACGGAGCTTCCAATAGTCTATGTTTTCAGAGTAACTAGAAATGAGTTCTAAGACACGTACGGGTGAAAATTATACACATTGGATCCGTGATTGTTTTTAGCTCACCTGTAAAGCCTCTGTAACAGACCAAAAAAAGACCACTCAAAAGCAGGACAATAAATAATGGCCACATTTGAACAATTTTAGTTATTAAATATGCAAACAGTGGTTACTTAGTGCACACTTTACTAAATAAAGAGAAGCGTTTAATTTTGCTACAGCTTGATCTATGATAGTGCTTCTTGTATGAGAATATGTGATTTACTGACCCTTAACCTAGAATGCTGGCTTAATTAATATGTGTTTAACGACGTTTATGGCTAAACGAAGAATGTATAATTCGGTGATTATTTGAACCTCAGAACTGACACTATTAATTCAGATGTTTAACATGTATACAACTTGTAATTAGTGTTCGACATAATCACTTATGAATAATAACTTAATTTCTGGGTGCTTTGACCAGTTAGAAATTCTCTCATTAATCCGAAGATCTAGAGTAATATAGATATTATACAAGCTGAAATACCCGTCAACTGACAGGGAATGTTTAAACTTAATTAAAACAGTGTAAGTTTAACAGCAATCATATATTTCAGAGTAATAACGTGAACATAAACTTTATCTCAAAATTTTAAAATTATCACAAAGCCTCTTCACGAACAACATTTGCAGTTTGCTTTTCATCTACAAGCAAATAAAGATTTTGAGGTGATCTCACCCTTGAACACCCTACATCTCACTGACCATGAGAAAAGTATGGTTGTTTGAGAAACAATCCATAAACTTTCATATTTTGACCTTGAATCCATTTAGAATATTCAACATTGTCTAAAGCGTCAACCTGCCAAGATTATTCTAGGTTGACTCAATAGGCT